GATTGGGATAATGAGCCCGGGAAACCGGTTTAGGAAACTCGAGGAAACCCCTCGAGGTTAAACCTAGATCATCTCGTCCGGAAACCTTGTTTGGAAAAAGAAACTCACGAAAATGAGTTCGTGTGAGTCGAAAGGATTAGGCTCCTCTTGGGTCGGTTAGTCTCTTGATCAACCGGGATATGGAGTGCGGGAAACCGGCCTAGGAAACTCGGGGACACACCCCGAGGATAAACCTAGGTAATAATTGTTCTAACGACTCTCATTTGGAAAAATAAGCTCATTTATATTAAAAAAAAAACAAAAAACAAAAAAAATGAATAAAAAGGGAAAAATTTGTTTTTATGCCTTTGATCCTATGGTTCATTTGATGAGTTGGCATGATAGACCTCTGATCTTGTTGAGAATTTGTTTTTGGGTCCGAGAGTATCCTTATGTAGCACGAGTAGTTTTGTAAAAGATGACTTGTGACGAGTTGATCATATGTGGATGAACCTTGGACGTGTGCTTATTTTTGTATGATTCGAGATTGTGGGGTACATATTTTCAAATTGAATATCGACTATAAGGATGCCGGGGTAAAATGAGTTTGGCATGTTTTGAGACATGATAAATGAATGGACAAATTTATTTTCTCGAAGGGTTAATGATATTGTTTGCTTGAGGACAAGCAAAGAACTAAGTGTGGGGGAGTTGTTTGTTATGTTTTTGTGTGTTTTATTGTGTTTTTATTTGCTTGAGTCGAGTGTTTTTAGGTTCCGTTTGTGCGTTTCGGTCCATTTTGTGTTCGTTTTTATTAGTTTTTCGTTTTTGAGTCATTTTCGTTTTTTTCTCTATTTCTTTCGTGCAATTTGGTGTTTTGTAGGTTCGGAAGGAAAGAATTGTCGTTCTGTGATATGTCGTCCCGAGCACTTAGTCGTGAATGTTCGTCGTTGAAATCGGAGTGTCGTTTTATAAAGTCAAGGTTTCAAGGTGATCGGGAATAGCGCGATGAGATAGAGCTTTAGAAGTCGAACCATAACCACTCGGTTGAAAATTCCAGCCCCAGCTCCTAGTTTGCCAATTCGCGTGCGCGAAGTCGATTCCCGCGACGTAAGCCCATTTCGCGAGCTGGCAGCAAGTGCAG